CACAGTACATTTACAGCTAAACTGACGCTTATTGATGTCCATTTTCCTTCTGCTCGCCTGCCATTCACCAGTCTTGTGCAGCGGTTTGCCTGCATGCTGTGTGGCCGACAACTGTATGCGCATATAATTGATTCTTATTAATGTATATTGTCTGCTATGTAGCAGAAGGGAGTTACAAAACTCAATTTCACTCTACAACTTGTACCTACCTAGCTACCTATGCCTACACATGCACATTGACCCCTATTCCTTGAGGGTTAGGGTTACAAATTTGAATTTATTCACGCACTTTAAAAAAATTTATTAAAAACTTTTTTTCTTTTCACAGTTTATTTACAGCATTATATGTTGAAATGTGCACTGTAATAGGCTGTATATTAACTTATTCGGAGAAACTGGTAGTTCTATGTAAAATCAACGTTGAGCACCCCCATATCGCCAAAATGGCATGAACCTCGTTTCGTTGTGAAGCTTCGACAGTGAGATTGACAGTCGAATCAGGCTCCGCCCATCGAAGCATTGAATCTTCAACTATTCGGGGTCAGTCCTAAATAAAAACACAACTTTATTCTCTGGTTTTACTGAAATGGGATCAAATTTGATGTAGAAAATATTGTCTGGTTTTCCCTCTTATGTACTCTGGCTGTTTTGCCTCCTCTTTTGCCGATTTCAGGAGTTTATATGTTTCTGGTTACTTCAGCAGCTAACTATCAGCAGTTGCTACTAAGTTAGCAACTCAGTTAGCTGTACAGCTAGCCGGACTGGTGTGTAGATGTTTACACCTCTATCATAACTACAGAGGTTTCGGACCGCTGGTTCATAGCCATCTGATAACGGAAGCTACTGCTATCCATCAATAATCACACAGTTGAGGCAGAGCAGCCAGAGGACATCAGAGGGACAATCAGAAAATATTTATATTTATACTTTCCTTCATAACCATAAAAACACTTTATGTGAGATACACTGCACTGCAGTACCTCCAGCTGTGGCTCTATGAGCTCATGTGACCGCTTCTCTGGAACGTGGGCTGGTCTATGTAACTTTGGGGGCGTAAACATCCCATGTTGTTGATGCTGATGTTACGTAACGTCTGGGATTAATTCGTCACTGTAAGATATTGATTTTAGCTTGCTTAAACACATGGATGTGTTATCTATCTTCTTTACGCATTCTTGGAAAGAAAGATGCCCATTGAGACTGGACTTACAGTATACTCATGTGGTACGGCAACAGCTCAGCAGTTGGCAAAGAGTCCTAAAAAACGCAGAGAATATCATCAACACACATCTGCCTACTTTGGCAGACATTTACGCCTCCCGATGCCTGCGGAAGGCATTAAGCATCATAAAGGACTCACATCACCCAGCACATGAACTGTTTGAACTTCTCCCCTCAGGGAAGAGATGCAGGTCCATCAGAGCACAGACCACAAGACTGATGAACAGTTCTTACCCAAAAGCCATTTCCACACTGAACTCTCCACTGAAATCACACACCTTAAAGACACAATTGTGCAATATCATATTACCACTATCTATTTTTTTTTCTGGATGCATATGTTGACAGTTGTGTATGTGTGAGTTGTGTGTGTGAATGTTAGATGTGTGTGTTTTTATATATATATTTTTGAGCAACATTTCAGATAGTGCTATATCATGCATATGTATATGTATCATGCAATGAATAGAAGAATAGATCTATCTAAATGAAATAAGAGTATTTCAAAATGTGTATGTGTAAAATGTGTACTTAAGTTGCATTTAGTTGAAGATAATAAATGTGAATATAAAAGTGTATATTATATCTCCTCATACCGGATGGTTGCTTGTGCGATGACTCTCTCAAGGTCAGTTTCCTTGATATCACTTAATTCTGAGAATGCCCTAAGATTACTGGGAAATCGACAGTTTATTATTATGTATGTTGTTGTTGTTGTTGTTGATTATGTACCTGAAGCAGATTTGTCTATATTCATACAGTAACTGTACGGCAATCTCTGTGTTCTACTGAAGCCTCCTCTAGCTGGAGCTCTGTCTTCTTTTCCTCACCTGGCACCATTTAAAACTGCAGCTCCAAAATTTTGTACTCTAAAAATAGACTATTGAGAGCAAGACTACTCAACTGCTATTTTTATTATTTCCATTGAAATCTATTAATATTTTGGCTATTTAGGATTTCTCTCCACCCATGAACTAATGATGTATAGGAGAAATAGTCTTCCCTGCTCGTATTCCTGTCACTGTGTTTCTGGAGACACTCAAAATGACGTGAATCACTGTCATAGACTTAGACACATTGCCTTCACAATCAGCCACGTCAACACACAAATTCACAGACACTTTGATTATGTAACTGTGAGAACATCAAACAGACACATTTTGTCACTGGTGGCCGTTTACCCTGACCACATGAGCTACATGTCCTGGTCTCAATATAACCTGAAACTAAGCCTTAAGTCATATTCAAGACCTACATGTCCTCACAGTTCAAAATGTCCTAACAAGACCAGCAGACAGCAATGTCAGGAACTGGTCCTCACAAGTACAGCTAGATCTGCCAACACACACACAGACTGGTCATGCTAAAAATAGCCTTTATTACTGCGAATCAGTATTGCCAGTGAAACGGCTTCCTGCATTGCCAGAGATCCAGATTTTAATGCTTGGGTAGGTTCAGAAACAACGTGTCACAACCTATGAATACAAAAAAGGAATCTTTTCCGATAAAAACCATCTGCAAGTAATTGTATATAGGAATTAGAGGATGTAAAACACAGAGCATGAAGTAAAAGGCTGTTGTTATTCCCATTTACAGAGTTGGTTGCATGCTTTGTTGCACGTTATTTACTGTATTTATACTGTTATTTACTGTAAATTAGTCAAACTTAAAAAAATTCAGCTACAAATACCTTCTTTTCTTTGAAGTAGTAGTAGTAGAATTAACTGTTCTATTGTGCGTTGTATTACTTTAAACATATTTTGTCATATTTAGTCTTAAATCCCTCATTGTAAGATAAAAGGAAAGTTCTCCTCCTGAAATAAAGAGTTTTATTTGTTTCACAAAGTTCAAAATGCAAGTATCGAGACAGCAATAAGAAGGAAGATCACCCAATAGTTCACCCAATATTTATCATGAAAATGACATTGGGAGGAGACTTTAGATGATTAACACTTGAAACAAGTTAAATAATCTTATCCCCATTTGGTTTTGAAAGGTATTAGAGATTTTCTGCAGAGTGACTAAGTCAGTCTTTAAACCTAAAGATGGCCAAATGTCCTAAATCACTGAGACAAGGTAGAACCATAAAATTCTCAGACACAGCTCTCAATCTCTGATACAGAACTCTGATGGCTGAGGGATTTGGCAGGAACACATTGTGTGCACAGTTTCTGACAAAAATAATAATAATAATAATAATAAAAATATATATACATTTTATGCTCTGGCTTTAAACCACAATTAAAATGATTCTAGTGCATTCTGAGGTAAATCCACTACACCTCAAAAAGCAGATGCTGAACTATATGGTCTTTTTATTTTCCTCTGGCATCTGTGGATAACTTTATTTTAAGAAAAGCCTTAGTCACGTCTGTAATGTCTTTTGATTCCACACACCCACAGCCAAGACCCGAGGGGATTAATCTTTTCCCTCATGTTGACTACATGAGATGACTACAAGATTATAAAAAATACTCATATTCCACATCCACATGATACAGTAAAATTAAGTTCCAGGAATGGCACATAACGAGCGCTCCTTGCACTACTGTGAACTTTAACACAAAATACTGAAAGATTATTGTTTTTACACACACACCAAAGACAAACATGAGCAACGTGGTGTGTGTAATTTCATTCCCTTTGTCAAGTGAGATATTCTCACACTCAGTCCCCTTTAGGCATGAACCACTGTGAATCCAAGGCAAACTGTTCAAAAATGATCTAAAGTATAGGAGCAAACTAATATCATAATTTGACAATTTTTGGACCCATAATGGCATATGATTACAGTTGACCTGTTAACAGTACAGGTGCTGTATGATGGAAAGTAATTATTTGGTTAGTAAAAATGAGTGATAACAGAGGTCTGAACTCGTCTTTAACCTAAGCTGATGATGTTTTATACACACGTGTAGAATTTCTTACTACAACAAGTAGTATTTTATTGTACTTTTCTGGTTTCAAATTATATCAAATATTACTACCTTGGAAAATTCCTGATTCCTGATGACCACATAGACACGCACAATGCCAGCAAAGAAACTCAAAACCACCACAAAGAGATGCAAAATGACCACAAAGAGAAACAAAAAAGACTACAACGAGACACAAAGCTACCATAAAGAGATGCAAAATTACTACAAAGAGAAACAAAAAGACTACAAAGAGACACAAAGCTACCACAAAGAAATGCAAAATTACTACAAAGAGACACAAAGCTACCACAAAGAGATGCAAAATTACTACAAAGAGACACAAAGCTACCACAAAGAGATGCAAAATGACTATAAAGAGACACAAAGCTACCACAAAGAGATGCAAAATGACTACAAAGAGATGCAAAATGACTACAGAGACACAAAGCTACCACAAAAAGATACAAAATGACTGCAAAGAGAAACAATGCTACCACAAAGAGATGCAAAATGACTTCAAGGAGACACAAAAAGACTACAAAGAGACTCAAAGCAACCACAAAGAGATGCAAATTGACTGCGAGATGCAAAACAACCACAAAGAGACACAAAATGACAATAAAGAGATATAAAACAACTACAAAGAGACACAAAATGACAATAAAGAGATATAAAACAACTACAAAGAGACACAAAACGACCACAGAGAGATGCAAAATTACTACAAAGGAAAGCGAAACACTTTGTTGATTCCTTGCATGTAAAACCCTTAAATCCTCAGTCTACACACATGCTTCAAAACAGTTGATGTTTGCTGAACAAATCTATCAGTCCATGGGTGTAAACATCACTTCTTCTTACCTGTATTGTCTTGTGTTGTCGCTATCAACCTGTGGGGCACTCGAGGTGAGACCTTCAACCCTGCTCGTACTTGGTAGAACCTTAGAGAAGGGGATACAAACAATCACATCAGTCACACATCTAACTGTACTGAATAAGTACTGCTATGTCCAAATGGCCTGGAAGTATAAAGAATATCTATAAGGTGAACAGTAGACGATTCAGTCTTGCTTAATATCAAGGTAAAAGAAAGGGAAGGCAAAAGGTTGCCTTATAGTCGGGGTATTTTCACTCACTGCTGTTTCACAGATATTTACAATTTTACTCTTTTTTTTTTTACTGAGTCACTGAACCCTGACATGGAAAACTCTTTCACTATATTTAAAACTAAATTAAAATATTATTTCTTCATTTCATACTTCAGGTAGCCTTTACAGTTATGAAATTAGTAATTGCAGGAAAAATTTAAAACAGGTTGAATTTAGAGTTAATTATAGCTACACAGTTAACTACATACAAGATACCTAACTAGTGATACCAAAGATAACCAATATTCAGTGTTGATGTTAAAAATGTAAACTTGTATGAAAATATAAACCTATATCCTACTGTATTCACCAGGGCTTTTCCTTGTTAAATGTTTGAAGTGGTGCAAAACAGGAGTATATGACTTGACATAAGGTAAATTAAAGTCTGATATAGAAGTCTTTGGTACTTGCATTGTGATTTTACCTTTTTGTGTGACCTAACTTCAAACTGATCATTGTGTCAATGTGTCTAGATGGAATACTTTGTTTTGGCATTGACAAGTCAGGTTTTATGTAAAAATCTTGACACATACAGTGTTCAAGCTTCAGAAGTGCTCCTTATGACATGGATGAGAAGTTAACAATGTTAAACAAAATCAGCCATGAATTGTGCAAATGTAGCTAAATTATTAAAGAATAATGGGCAAATGTCTATTAATAATGAAGAAGACCTCATAATACAAGTCTATTGAAAGTATATGTATATGGTATCAGATGATTACTGGTGCTAGAATTCTACAGCTTTACACATTTAAGGTAAGATGAAAATGCATCGATTGACTGATTGGGAAATTAGATTATTACAGCTTCAAAAGAAATTGGATTCATAGGAAAGAAAAAAAGATTATCAGCACTGAGCTATGCAATGGAAAACAGAACAGATTCACACAAGGATTATTTACATGACATTCCAGACTATAGGTAGCTATGGAAAACATGTCTTTGAAAAGGTCACTTTGACAGTTGAAGTCAATGCAGCTTTGTGTAAAAGCACATTTCAGCTCTCTGGGGACACATCGGCAATCTGAGAGTCCAAAGCGAGGCTGTTAACCCAGTCATCACATCAGTGTTTTAGCAACAGCACTCCTAAAGATGAAGCCTTGACGGAGAAAAGCACAGAAAAGGTTTTGGAGGTTGATAAATAAATAAGGGATGTCTATGGAATGAAATAGGCCATCTCAGTGGCCAGTAACTGGTCAGAGACTAATCCAGTACCTCTTACAGCAGAGGTTTGTAGACTTGTGTTCTCAATGTTTAGTTTTCAAACCATATTTTTATTATTTAGTATAACATATTTGGTATGAGTGGCTAGAAGGCACACATTTAACACGTTTTTTTTTGGTATATAGATGCTGGAGGACAAGGATCAGTAGTGTACATTTTGACATTGCAGCTGGATTTGTAATTTGAGTATCTGAAGCGATCTCAGACTTCAACTTCGCCTCCATCAGTGAAAACTTAAAGTGTCTTGCTCATCGATATCACCTTCCTTACAAATCAAATGCAGATTTAATCAGTATTTTTAATGTAATCAGTGTACAGCTGGTCCCTTCAAAGTGTACAGCTGCGTGGTCCCCCAGTCTGGTACAGGGATTTATGTTGAACTGTGGTGAGAGATGCAAGTTTTATTCCACAGTACTTCGTCTTTGCACTGGGATCCAATTCTTTTTAGTGTTCACATGAGATGTCTACTGATATCTGAAGCAACGTGGCAACCGGTCAAAACAAACATATTAGTGCACTCAGCTTAAGGGATTACCATGATAAAGCTTCAGCCTATCCCATTTAGAGAGGGAAAATCATTTTGATAAAGCTAGGAGAGATGAGAGGTTTTAATCTTCCTGCAAGCGCTTCCTGGGATAAACATTGCCCTTTTTCATGTCACAGAATAATATGGAATAACAATGTTGTGAAAAACTCAACTGGAAAATTTAAATTTTTTAGCTCTTTTATTTACCCTAAACCTTATTACTCTTATTGGAACCACCCATTAAATGTATCTTTGATGTAATTTATTCATTTTTATTATATTACCATCTTACCTAATGTCCGGTGCCTACTGTCCTACAAAAGCGTAAAGTAGCTATGCCTCCATTTAGGGGGCTGATAACAATTACCATAGAACCTACATAATGAACAATAAAAAAAACATGCCGGTGCTGTACAATGCCTTTTAATGGCCAGGTTATGTGAGAAAACACAGATAGCACAATATCTACACACAAACATGTTCCTCTAGCTTTCTTGTCCATTTTAACTGGCTACTTTGTTTTAAAACTATACTTTGTTCTGACAATCGATTGTTCATTAAATGTTCTCACTAGGTGTCCGTTCATCTGCTATATGTATGTAAAAATGTGATTTAAAGGGAGCTTAACTTAGGGTCATAGCAGAGATAGCAGCTACCTAAATCTGCTAGCTAGTAACATTTTAGCAGTCTCAGTTTAGCAGGGTTTTTTTTTTCTTCATAATGGCACAATTACTGACTGGAAATACACACCTGCATTAACAGAAAAGGTTTGACAACAAGTGAGTTAAAGTTTTTAATATTAAAACAGATTCTTTGTCAGCAATCAACGTGAATATGTTCTGTGAGTTTGCTAAATCGCGAGTTGTGAAGGCAGGTAACATAACCCTGGAAATGTTGCTTACCCCCTTTGAAAGAGATCCACATTGTGAAACTTGTGCAGCTCTACAGAAAACTCCAGTGTTCCCTGTACTTCAGACATGATATAATCCCACTCATCACCTGGCAAAAGAGAAGACACCCAATAAATATGACATATAAAATAAGCAAAACCAAGACAGAATAAACAGTGAAAGGTAAGGCAAGTGATGACATTTCTAAAACTAGCTCACACTGTTATTTCTTCTGTTTGCTGAGGTGATATGACTCACACAGTCGATTGTGGAGAACAGACTATATAAGGCCAAGAGAAACATCTTGGTCTGAATATAGTTATCACTGTTCAGGTAAACACCCTATGATCTACTTATTTCAGAGTAAAAGTACTGATGTGTGCACTTGGAAACTGCTCTCTTTGTTGTACCTGTCTTAATAAGCGATGTTGTGAACTGATTAGAATTCCCTTACTGTCAGCCATTTGGTACATCATTACCTGTACATTTATTAGGATTACATATATGTACTGTATAGTTGTCCTGCTTTAATATATTCCCCTTTATTTGAATATCAAATACTGTGTAGTATCCAATACTTATGCATTTGACTCATAACAGTTCAAAATAGCACTGTAGCAGCAAGACAGAGGGTCAGTGACTTTTGGGGAGGTGTTCTACGGGGAGAGCAGTGATTGGTGGTTATGTAGGTTGAAGGGACTGAACCCTTCTATAGAATTTCACCTCTAGCCCCTTGTTTTGTTTCCTCAAGATAGTACTGTACCCTTCTATGGGTTTGACCTTTTACTTTGCAGACTCAAACCCTTCTATGGTACCTAACAGATACCTAAACATATCCTATATAAGATATGTTTGATGTACAGAGAGACAGAGTGGTCATCGGGCTGGTTCCGGACACCACAACTGCAAAACTGGCAATTACACGGTATATTCTTTGTGCATTTAAAGGCCTAGTTTATCCTAAAGCTTCTTCAGTGTTTCAGGGTACGAAGGGGGAGAGCATGAAGGTCTCCTTATCCCATCTGACACAAAAATGTGGAAATTGTAATGTGGCACACACAACTTGTGGGACGAGTTCCCATTAATAAAAAAAAAAAGGATTTGTCAACCACAATGTATTATAATATTCTACCTATTTTTACTTGTGTAATTGAATCAGCTTTGGTCAGATAAGACAGAAGCCTTTGAACTTGTTGTAGGAAATTCACTTCTGTACAGATATCTACATCTAAACAAATGATGACAAACTAAATTGCTGAGAAATGTACACATTCAACAATGACTGTTTTAGTGCCTAGGAGATAAGAATACAGGCCCATGTAAACATGGTCATTGTCTCAGTTCATTGAGACAACTGCAGGTAAATGCTCATTGTGCCTAAATGCATCAGGCCATTGAAAATGGATTTCTCTAAATGAACCTGTGATGAACATATCCCATACTTGCTGAAGCTTAATTCACACCCATATGAGCAGTGTTGTCCATTAGCAGCAAAGCTCAGTGTTTCCCCATTACTTCCAAACATAAACAATCTACTTTTACTTCAAATCTACAATGTCTGAAACCATTAGAGGAAAACTTTATGCTCTGCAGCGTTCGGAGAAGTTGAAACGCAGTTAAAACGGAGCCACCAAACAAAAGGAGATGAAACACTGACTGTGTTTACAGTAAAGTGTCTCAAATAAACTCTCATTGAATGCTTTGAAATATAACCCTTGCTTGTGTGGTATTTGGTTAGTGTTCCTGTTGTGTTCCAAGTGTAGAGTCATCACTAGAAAGGAAGATGCACAAGTGTCATCACAGAAACAAGAGTCATTGCCGTGAAACACCTTTCAGAAGTGCAACTTCACTTCTGCATTACGAGCAGTCCTTAGCTTAGCTGGCTTAAAAGCAGAATACTGTTTCAGTCCACTTTCTTTAAGCAGTGAAGATTGATCAAGACAGGCTGTTTTTTTATAAGACACTGGGGTACTGTGAGAAGATCTTTTCTGCTACTAAAATGCTAAAGTTCCTGCTAATTACAGATAACTCCGGCCTGCAGATATCCTGTGTAAACCACCCATTTTCCTACCATGGCCTACAAAAAGTGATATGTAAAGTTTATGTAAAATTTTTAATAAGCATTATACTGCACAAATGCAGTTTATTTATTTAAATTCATAGTAACCTCTCAAACAAGGGTCCATACTTTCAGACAAAGGTAGACAAAAGCAGGCTTCTCAATTTGGGCTAGAAATGACAACCACAGCTGGCATATTTGATTGACTTTTTAATGTTTTCATACGACTTAAATCAAAACAAGAAGCCTGTTAAAGTAGTGTTTATTTACCTTAATGTTTACTGTGTTATAAAACTGAGGCTACATGTCCTGGACAAAAAGTCCTCCCCACCTCACGATCCATTTCGCAGACATGAAACAGCATTGTTCTTGTTTTGCAATGTGAAGCTTGTTAGTACTTTGAGTATGGTATAGAAAACTGTGATTGTCAGACTCTTGTTCCGTTCTAATGTAAATGCTTAGCTTAAAACTTAACTTACAATGTTAAAAGACTTTTAGGATGAAGACCAGCCATCATGTTGTCCCGCTGTCCTGCTATCTTGCTGGAGTGCTTCAACCTCAAATCAAATAAAGAACAGGACACAGCTGCTAATGCTGCCAGAAAAGTCTGATAACATCCAGGATGGTGAGAGGATGTTCACCCAAGATACCTCTGTTCAGGTCCCATGTGAAACCAAAAGTCAATGTTGACTCATTTGAACTTACATTACATTTTTAACTCATGTCACGTAACTTAGCTGATAACGTACTTGTTCTAACCTAAACCATAATTTCCTAAACCTAACCAAACTGTGACCATTTCAAAATGTTGACCATGTGTTTTTTGTTATCATGAGAACTAAAGTCATCTGACTATGATGACAAAGGTCACCTGACTATTATCATGGCGATGAAGGTCACCCAATGAAGGTCACCCAATGAAGGTCACCTGACTTTGTCCTTTCCTGCATGTCCAAAACTCATGAAATGTGCCTTCTCCAGCGGCGTTAAATGCGTAGACATGACACACGAATGGCCAGCTTGCTATTTATAAGCCATCCCATGACATCACGTAAACAGTCCTGAGGAACACAGTAACCTTCTCTTATGTAGTACGTTAGCTAGACACTGCTGCAGATGGCCCGAAGAGATCGGATATTGCACTAAACTGTTTTGCCTCTTCTTGCTGACTGTGCATGTTTTGTCACATTGACACACACTTACCACACGTGCAGCTGCATAAGAGTGAAGCTTTGTGTGTGACAGGGTGACCACAGATGACGGCGGTCATCATAATGCCTTGAGCCAATTATAGGTCGTTTGATGTGAGACTGTGAGACACTGGAGAATGTGCAGCTTGTGATTTCTTCAGCGTTGATTAAGCTAGCCGAAGATGCTTCAGTGCTTCCCTAATTCAAGCTAACATCCTAGTTATCCGTAAGCTGCAGTCTCAGAGATTCAAAAATGGAGCTGCTCATTTCTCAAGCAATGTGTTAGGAAGGCAGTAAGGAGGCGAATGAACACTGCATGCTTGATTAAATGGACGCTCAGAGTCCAGGGACTTAATATTCTTTTTTCCCCCACCAAAACTATCTCTGCCTACAGCATTCAGCACACAGACACTGCATATACTGATTATCAGCCTCTGCTGAAAATTCATCAATAAGATAATCAAATCAGCGAGGCACAGACCAAAACACCCACGCTGACAGCTTCAAAGGCATACAGCTGTCATTCATCTAAGTAGGAGACTTTGTGTTTCCTTTGATGACGATGACAATGACGATCATGAGGATGATGAAACAACTCAACCGCAGCAGAAGACTATGCTTTGAAAGAGCGACGTGGGGTTACTTGCACTTTTATATTGCCAACAATACAGTACGCTTGTTCATCTATATATTTTCTGACTTCCAAGGACTGTTTGTGGCACTCAGCCCTTTGCTAATGCTTGCCTACTAATATATAAATGATGAAATGATGTACAGTAATAATTTAAAAACAAATCCCAAATTTTGAGGGTTTTCTTTCAAAGCTTAGGGCTACTCAGGCAATGATTTTTGGTGTTGGTCTTTTCATTGGTTTTTGTTGACAAAAAAAGAAAATGATCAAATATTGACAGCCTTATAGCAGCATCTTAGAAAACATCTTTCTTAAGGCTGATTCCAGTAGACCTATTTTTAGACTGTCAACCAGGATCCAGGATTTCCAGGATTTTAATCGCTTTCTATAGCAATTTTCATTGTTAGTGGTGGAGTCAACCATTCCTGCCCTGGGTTTAATTAAGTCAGGATTTCTTGAGCCCCGTTCATCTTTCTATTGTTGTACAAATCCCAATTAAAATGCATGTGCTCTGATAGCTGCACAATGCTGCTGTCCCCCATGTAGATCTGCACAACCTGTAGCCTAGCTAATGCTTAGGCTATAATTTGAAAACTATCTCTTCCTGATTTTCTACTTGCTGTGAATCATTAAACACTAATCATTACAAAACAGCCATCTGCTGTCTGATTACTATTTAATGCACACACACACACACACACACACACAAACACTGGTCTTCTTGGAAGTCTACAGTTTGCAGCTCCAGTATTTTCTCCACCTTAAGGAAAAACTAAAACTCCTGGCTGCCCTTAAGCTGTCCTGTTGGTGTCAGCTCAGTTGGGAACGCTGACTGACATGTCCAAGCTCAATTTGGGGAGGATGAAGAGGCAACATTTTCACAGTGACTGAATGTGGAATGAGCAGATTTTGCAGGCTACATAGGTCTCATTGTAACACAAAGAGTCATTGTGTGCCACGACTGGAAGCTGCTGTATGTGTGCACAGCTCAAAGGGCCGGAAATTAATCCGCAGCATTATTCCATTCATTAACATCCAACCCCCTCTGCAGAACACAATAACAGAAAAAAGACTATCACCAAATACAGGGATACCTGACAAAAGACCAATGAGTGACAGCTCCTTAATGCTCATGTTGTGAATTTCCGTCCAGGTTTAGAAATATTTAAAGGATATTAAGATCTATCAAATCAAAGTTACTGCAACAATATCTGTTTAAAAGGAGGAATCTGCACGACAGATAAGTGGAGACAAAGCGTTCTTTACAGGAAAGCCTTGAGCCAGCAATCATGTGATGGCATAATCCAGCACTTGCTAAAACCTTCCATGATGCTGTATTAGGCTCTTTGTTGTAAAAATGACAATGCCAAATCCCTGACAAGGCAAAAAAAAAAAGAGACCAAGTGGCGGAGTAAGACTTTGAGAGGATGAGGCCGGCATCCTTGCTATCTCCAAATGAGATTCTCTTATAATCAAAGAGGTTTTCTGCAAAAAATAAATAAAAATAGATAGAATAGGAACAATAGATAGCAAGATAAAGTCACCAGCTGGAAAATCCTACATGCAATTATTCCAGAGTCCCCCCGCATTCATCATCATTTGCGATTCACAAACTCTGATTCACTGTTTCCTTGTTTGCGTGAGAATGAAGTGTGGGTCACTATCTGCATGTGTGTGAGCTACACATGCAAATGTGTGCTCTTCAAAGAATTGGTCCAAAAGTAATGAAGGCTGCATTCAATTACGTTAGTTCAGTTAAGTGCTTTGAAATGACACAGTCTAGCAATCTAACATGATGTGGTGGTTTTCTGCTCTGATGAAATGCTCACATCAGTCACATGAGGGCCTGAACTCCTGGCTGCATTACAATAGCATTATTAATTGTAATCTATTTAACCTCACATCATTGTTTTCTTCTATTCTTATCGTTTTGCAGCGTACTATGAGAACTCTGCACTGTTTGACTTTGAAGTGGGAGCTTTGCTTTGTACGTATTAGACAGCATGTAGGACTATTTCAGACCACAGCATCAGTGAGAAAGCGACAATAAAGGCAAAACACTCTACTGTTTAACAAACACTGACAAGCAGATTGCCATAAAGATAACTGGACAGCAGCAGTTACCACACCAGCTTAGTTTGTCAATCTAAATTTAATTATAATGTATTTTACTTGGATCATTCTTAGCATGACAGTGTTTGGATATTATTTTGTATTAATACTATCAAGGCTGATTTGATTTAAATTATCCTTTTTGCCTTATAAAGTTGTCAGTGTGGTGTCCTTAAGTCTATTTACAAAATGACACATGCCCAGTGTTTACCACACATGCAGTAGGTCCAAAGACCCTTAGCTGCCATATGGAAGCAGCGCTTAATTAAGATGTATAAATTAAGCTAAATTCCCCATTTATTAGACTCTACGTTTCCCATAAAAAAAACCTTCATCAGTCAGCCTGACATGTTGTAACAAGCCAGCAGTCTACAGTAGCAGCTCTCTCCGCAGTAGGCTAATGCATAACAACGGGCTTCCCAATCCTCGCATGTTGCCCACACATGCAAACAGACAACTAAAGCAGAATGAGGGAGTCACATGTAGAACAAAACAGCCTCACCTTGATGAAGCGCACTGTCCGCAGAGGGTTCCGTTCCAGCCTTTACTGAGTAAATGTTTATATCACCGCTTCTCCTGCTGCTGCTGCTGTTGCCATGGTTATTCATCCAGTCCCTGTATGTTCTGCAGTCCCCTGCTCTCTCTCTCTCTCTCTCCCCTCTCTCCCTCTCTCTCAATTCCGCCCCTATGTCTCTCTCTCTCTCTTTCTCTCTCCTGACGGGGATTTCAATTTGGGGAAGTGCGGCAGCGTCTGTCGCGGATTCTGGCTTTGTGTTTCTCCTCCGGGTCCGCCCCGCGTTTTGCAGACAATACAGACTGTGGGTAGTTTCATAAGGGCAATATTAATAGTCAGCACCCAGTCAGTGTGTGTCCTGCGGCTGCACTAGTGTGCGCGTCCAGCGGGCGAGCTGACGTCAGAGCCTGCCCCCTAAAAGCTGAAGTGAACCGTGCAGTTTCGAAATCTAAGTATGCTGAGAAACAAAGAAGGGGTGTTACGCAAACAAGACAATAACGCAATTAAAAGCTTGCGGCCGTGACTTGTCTTGGAGGCAAAGGCAGATCAGCAGAAGCAAAAATAAAGTAAGAATAAAAGCTAAAACTTTTCTGACTATGACAGCTTTGTACAGTCATTACAAAATTAACTTAAATTTAAGGATGTTGAGAGAAGAAATCAATAACTAAATAATCTCTTTTTATTTGCTTTTCGTCCCAATCTCTCTGCTGGTGACCAATGGATAATAAGCTCATTTCTGGTCAATGATTTCCCAACATCAAATTGTAATTGTAAAATTGTTAAGGCAACACTGTAATAATAGTTTTTTTTTTTGTCCATGGGCAGTCCATCTGAAAAGATTGATGTTTAAAGTTACACTTAATTTAAATATAATAATAATAATATTAATAATAATAATAATAATAATAATCAATGGCAATCAATGAGCTTTTAACCAAAATTAGTTAAGTCAGAATGGTGCAAGGTCAAGGCTGGACTACAAACTTGGAAAAGTGGGCAACTGCCCTGGTGCCCAAGAAAGTAAGCTCCCATCTTCTGTGTGTCAACCATTTTGTGCAAATTTAGCTGAAATTTATTTTGGCATATTTACCACTCAAGCACAGTGTCAACTGACATGACTTAAACTTGAATTAATTAATGTTCTAGCAAGCAGTTGTGACATAATAGACAAGTTATCACCAAACAATACAAGTGCTGGTCATATAATTAGAATATCATCAAAAAGTTGATTTATTTCAGTAATTCCATTCAAAAAGTGAAACTTGTATAATGTATTCATTCATTCCACACAGATTGATATACAGTGAGGAAAATAAGTATTTGAACACCCTGCTATTTTGCAAGTTCTCCCACTTAGAAATCATGGAGGGGTCTGAAATTGTCATCGTAGGTGCATGTCCACTGTGAGAGACACAATTTAAAAAAAAAATCCAGAAATCACAATGTATTATTTTTTAACTATTTATTTGTATGATACAGCTGCAAATAAGTATTTGAACACCTGTCTATCAGCTAGAATTCTGACTCTCAAAGACCTGTTAGTCTGCCTTCAAAATGTCCACCTCCACTCCATTTATTGTCCTAAATTAGATGCACCTGTTTGAGGTCGTTAGCTGCATAAAGACACCTGTCCACCCCATACAATCAGTAAGAATCCAACTACTAACATGGCCAAGACCAAAGAGCTGTCCAAAGACACTAGAGACAAAATTGTACACCTCCACAAAGCTGGAAAGGGCTACGGGGAAATTGCCAATCAGCTTGGTGAAAAAAGGTCCACTGTTGGAGCAATCATTAGAAAATGGAAGAAGCTAAACATGACTGTCAATCTCCCTCGGACTGGGGCTCCATGCAAGATCTCACCTCGTGGGGTCTCAGTGATCCTAAGAAAGGTGAGAAATCAGCCCAGAACTACACGGGAGGAGCTGGTCAATGACCTGAAAAGAGCTGGGACCACCGTTTCCAAGGTTACTGTTGGTAATACACTAAGACGTCATGGTTTGAAATCATGCATGGCACGGAAGGTTCCCCTGCTTAAACCAGCACATGTCCAGGCCCGTCTTCAGTTTGCCAATGACCATTTGGATGATCCAGAGGAGTCATGGGAGAAAGTCATGTGGTCAGATGAGACCTAAATAGAACTTTTTGGTCATAATTCCACTAACCATGTTTGGAGGAAGAAGAATGATGAGTACCATCCCAAGAACACCATCCCTACTGTGAAGCATGGGGGTGGTAGCATCATGCTTTGGGGGTGTTTTTCTGCACATGGGACAGGGCGACTGCACTGTATTAAGGAGAGGATGACTGGGGCCATGGATTGCGAGATTTTGGGGAACAACCTCCTTCCCTCAGTTAGAGCATTGAAGATGGGTCGAGGCCGGGTCTTCCAACATGACAATGGCCTGAAGCACACACCCAGGATAACCAAGGAGTGGCTCTGTAAGAAGCATGTCAAGGTTCTGGCGTGGCCTAGCCAGTCTCCAGACCTAAACCCAATAGAGAATCTTTGGAGGGAGCTCAAACTCCGTGTTTCTCAGCGACAGCCCAGAAACCTGACTGATCTAGAGAAGATCTGTGTGGAGGAGTGGCCCAAAATCCCTCCTGCAGTGTGTGCAAACCTGGTGAAAAACTACAGGAAACGTTTGACCTCTGTAATTGCAAACAAAGGCTACTGTACCAAATATTAACATTGATTTTCTCAGGTGTTCAAATACTTATTTGCAGCTGTATCATACAAATAAATAGTTAAAAAATCATACATTGTGATTTCTGGAATTTTTTTTTTGATTATGTCTCTCACAGTGGACATGCACCTACGATGACAATTTCAGACCCCTCCATGATTTCTAAGTGGGAGAACCTGCAAAATAGCAGGGTGTTAAAATACTTATTTTCCTCACTGTATTTCAAGTGTTCATTCCTTTTAATTTTGATCATTATAACTGACAACTAATGAAAACCCCAAAATCAGTATCTCAGAAAATTAGAATATTGTGAAAAGGTTCAATATTGAAGACACCTGGTGCCACACTCTAATCAGCTAATTAACTCAAAACACCTGCAAAGGCCTTTAAATGGTCTCTCAGTCTAGTTCTGTAGGCTACACAATCATGGGGAAGACTGCTGACTTGACAGCTGTCCAAAAGACGACCATTGACACCTTGCACAAGGAGGGCAAGACACAAAAGGTCATTGCTAAAGAGGCTGGCTGTTCACAGAGCTCTGTGTCCAAGCACATTAATAGAGAGGCGAAGGGAAGGAAAAGATGTGGTAGATAAAAATTTACAAGCAATAGGGATAACCGCACCCTGGAGAGGATTGTGAAACAAAACCCATTCAAAAATGTGGGGGAGATTCACAAAGAGTGGACTGCAGCTGGAGTCAGCGCTCAGTCTGTGTGTAATGAATGACTATAATATCCAAGTTTCACTTTTTGAATGGAATTACTGAAATAAATCAACTTTTTGATGATATTCTAATTATATGACCAGCACCTGTACATATTGGCAAATAAATGTAAGCAAATCTTTTTTTATTTACACCTCCAGCAGACACAGAGCAACTCAAATTAGTATTCATTTGGAGTCACATGGCCACCTGTCAAATGTAAATCCAATATTCACTTTTCAGTTAGCTGTATTTTGGTTTCCACCAGCATGAGGGAAATATTTGGCTGTTTAGCAGCTAAAGAGCTAGTTATGTCTGTTAACTAGATGCTAAGTTTGCCTGTCTTTTGGAGCTGGGCAGGTAGTGAACAGTGGGTTTATCTGAGATTAAAACAGCTGATTGCTGCTAGAAACACAGTTGATGACAGCAGAGAGACAGAACCAAAACCTAAAAAAGGTGAAACACCTTTCACAGTTTGGTTTTCCACTATTAATATCAGAATATTGATTTGTGCAGCTTTAATATGGGTTCCACTTTATCTTGATGCCCTGCCTTGAAAAGAGTCTCTGTGTCATGCCTAGTTTGAACATATTTCATGTTTTTATTTGATGCATATTCCAAAATTAAATGTGTTTAATCAAATTTCCACACTGCAACTCTGGGGCCAGGAAGTATTCCAATTAAGAAATCATTGTACATAAGTGCTTAATAGGGTCCCAACAGCTCCTTTTTCACTCAAGGGTCCTGAAATCTGGTTTTATGTTATCTATTATCTATTGTCAAAAAGTCCCTTTTCTATATATTCTACACTTTCCAACACATCAATGTAAAAAGAGCACTAGAATAAGTGAATAACAGGCCAAGAAGATGAATAACGGGACAGCAACAGAATACATGTTATATTTTGTTTCACCCAAGGAGTGAAACTGATATGATATCCAATGTATATTTTATTCTTGGAGAAAAGGCATATCAGCAAAGTAACAATGGGCAGAACCACTAACCAGCAATGTCTCGTATGTTCCTGGTAGTCAGGTACTGTAATAAAAATGCCATCTGCCCTGGTTAAACAACTCCTCACAGACTAATCACTTGTCAGATAAGGGGGAGGGGAGGATTATATAACTACAAATGAATAGAATGTCCATGACACATAAGCTGTTGGCGTTGGTAACTGTGTTGTTTAACAATCAACAAAAGGAAATTCGTTTTCTCTATCAGTCTCTTTGGGTGCTTTGTGTCTCTGATTCACCAAGTGAACCTATGCAGAATGACTGTTTCATCCCCGCTGTTCCCAGCTTCACCTTCCCCTTAAAACACCCAAAGTCAATTGCTGCTTTTCTCTCATGGCGTTCTGCCATAAGCTCCGAGCACTCTTGATTAAGAGAGAAGTGCTATTGATTTTTTTTTTCTCCTGATGATTGCCAGAGCCCAGATGACCAAATAGACTGAAAAATTTTTTTTGTAGAAATTTCATAGAGGTTACACAGCAAGGACACAAATTTTCACACACTTCAATGTCAGGCTTAGATGATTACTTCTAGTCTATACAAGTATAAATACAGAGGATAACACTGGTTGCTGTTGTTATATCCTACTTAGCTATATTTAGCTTTTGATTTGATATGGCGTGCTTGTGATGTAATATAAAGACAGGATGATTACAGACACACCCACCTTATCCTCAAGTCCATATTGTTAATGAGAACTATGATAAACTAGTATACTGTACAGATGGGTGACAAATACCAGAAAACCTAAAAAAAAAAAAAAAAGAGTGCAGACACAGGGCAGGACAAGTCACACTGTACCGTTTGATGAGTATGAAAAAGATGCAAGTCATATGCTATAGTCTCCACAGTCATCAGATGTCAACACAATTCAACACCTATGGGAGATTTAGGAGCGACATGTTTGACAGCACTCTCCACCACCGTCATCGAAACACCAAATGACTGAATATCTTTTGGAAAACTGCTGTCCCTCCCTCCAGAAGAGTTCCCAACCCTTGGAGGATATCTGTATGTAATATGTTGCCATCAACCTGTTTTTATGCACATTTTACAATTTACACATTAAAAGAAATGAAATGTTTTTTTTTTACCCTATAAGAGTTTCTGTATTGATTAAAATGGAATACATGCAATGGCAACAGACTTGGCAAACAA